TTTTTCAGTCTGAACCATACTCGACCAGTCTGAACCATACTTGACCAAATAACCTCTACTTTTTTAATTTTAACTTTTTATATAACTTTCTTTTTAACTGACGTGACAACAGCCACAATAAAGTAAAGATTTATTTACAGATGTTTACATCCTTAAATGATTATCAGATTTATCAAATCGAGATAGTCAAATTATCAAATTTTAAAGTCTGAATCTTGGTAAAAACAATAAAAAAAATCTTTAACCTGAAAAACACACCTGTACCGAGGGTAATAAAACCTTATTAAGGTGCATCTTGTTTGCCATGTGTTTTTTTTTTTTAACAAAACTTAGTTAACCTAATTTCTTAAATAAAACTACATAGGTTTCATGGTAACAAAATCACTAAAATTGTTTAACCTTATATCAGAAATAAATATATTCTTATTATAATTTGGCATATTTACATATATATATCTAAAAAGGATAAAAAAATTAAAGATTTTTTTTCAATTTATTCTTCTGATCAGGGGTAAATTATAAAGTAATACCTCCTGCTTGGGGCACACTCGTTAAAAAGAGCACACCTATTTAGAGAGTAATAAATTTTAAATTACATCCTTTGAAAATTAAACAACACCCTGTAAAACTTAACTCACAAGGCCTTTTTAATTCACTAGAAAAAAAAATACACGAGTTTAAAGAAAAATAGGATTTTCTTTTTACCTGTAAAACACACCTGTACTGAGGTAATTAAACCTTATCAAGGTGCTTCTTGTATGCCATGTCTTTAATTTTGAAAAAACTTAATTAATCAACCTAATTTTTACTGCAACTTTGGTACACAACTTCTTTTTTAAAAGGATATAAAGGATTGCTATGAAAGTTCTATGATATTAAATTCTTGGTGTTACAAAACAAAGATGTAATTTTTAAAATTTATTAAGTTGCTTTTAATACAAATGTTCACTGCCTTATTAACCAAACTCGACTGACACCATAAATTTATACCAGGCTTTAGTTAGTGATGAAAATTTTCCAGTAACCATAAATTTATCTCAAACATACAAAAAAATTTGATTATCATCTAAAATATTTGAATAATGGTCGGAAGTTATAGTATTTTTGATGTACATAATGCAATGTGAACATGATCATGTAAATAAAACTTCTCTTAACTGAAAACTTAATTTATTTCATTTGTTTTTAATCCGAATAGAAATCACTTCCTTTGATGATCTTGTTTTTATTTTTTATTTTATAGGTGATGTTCATTGTAAATACGTGTTGATGAATATTGTGTTTATTGTGAAATGTTGGTTTTAATGCTATATCAAATACATTTTAGCCAAAGGAAATAACTGTTATTAAAAAGAGTTCCTAAATTGATGAAATACAATAGATAGATACAGAAATAGGTCTAGGTTGGTTAAGACTTGGTCGAGAATGGTTCAGACTAGGTCGAGTATGGTTCAGACTAGGTCGAGCATGGTTCAGACTGGGTGAAGAATGGTTAAGACGTGGTCGAGTATGGTTCAGACTTATAAAATGGTTAAGTACTACTGGTCGAGAAAAGGTCGAGTACAGGTTCAGACTGTTAAGTATGGTTCAGACTACAGTCGAGTAATATCGAGTAAATTTCAGACCAATTCAGACTGGTCGAGTAAAATCAGTACAGTCGAGTACAGATATAGGCCATTTCAGACTTTTACTGGTTTGTAGTGCATGGGAACCAACTATGCTCCTCTTCTTGCCGACTTGTTCCTTTATTCATACGAGGCTGGTTTTATACTAAGGAATAATGAAAAAAAGCTAATATTATCCTTTAACTTTACATTCAGCTATATAGATAAATAACTAAATTAATGAAAGTTTGGTGACTATGTTGAACGCATCTATCCCATCGACCTTGAAATAAAGGATACAACAGATAAGTTAACACTGCCTCATACCTTGACATAGCAATTGACAATGAGGGCCGGTTGTGAACAAAACATTACGACAAATGAAATGATTTCAGCTTCCCAATTTTGAACTTTCCATTTCTATATAGCAATATCCCAGCGGCGCATGCATATGGAGTACATATATCCCAGTTGATACGATATTCCAGGGCTTGCGTTTCCTATCATGATTTCCTTGATAGAAGGTTGCTGCACACAAGGAAGTAATTAAACCAAGAGTTCCAAATGGTGAAGTTGAAATCATCCCTTTGAATATTTTACGGACGCCATCACGAGTTGGTTGACCGTTACGGAATATATGTTTCACAAGTGACGACGAATATGTTCCAATCGTCGTAATCACAATCCCGCCCTCCTTTTTCCCGAATGGAGCACCTGAGATCACCCCCGGTTTTTAACGGGGGTCGTGTTGCTCAATCTTTAGTTTTCTTTGTTGTGTTTTATATACTGTTGTTTGCATTTTGTCTTTTTTTTTGCCATGGCGTTGTCAGTTTATTTTCGACTTACGAATTTGAATGTCCCTTTGGTATCTTTCGCCTCTCTCTAATCTAACAATTGTTAAACTTTGAAGACCAGTTACTAAAGCTTTGCAGAAATAAGAAAATAGTATGATCATATCACTGACACTGAGACGTAAACCATAGAAGTATTTTTACACTAACCGTGCATTGATAACATTACTAAATTCAATTTTGAAAGAAGTACATTGGAGTAATCCCTTAATATCAAGTTCACATGTAGAAAACCATACCCCTAAAACTCTTGTGTCTAGACATTTATTTGCTTTCTAGTTCAGTGCATATGAATTTTATTTACAGAAGCGGAATTTCATCAGTCCTAGGGAACCAGCGTATTACAAGTTCCTGACTTGGGACAAAAACTGATTGTTGGGTTAGTGCTGCTCAAATTTTAGTTTCCGAGGAAACTCAATTGTTAATACCTGCCAACATTCAAAATCTACATTGGATATATTTAGCACTTTTCAAAATATGTTAATGGAAAAAAATGACTGTGAACAGCTATAACAGTACATGATTGATTTATTGATTTTTGGTGTTAAACCCCACTTTCAGCACACTTGACTAAAACCGTGGTGGCCAGTTTTTATTACATAAGGAAGCCGGAATACCCAACAGTTTTCGGAAATATTTATATTTAGTTTAATCTGTTTTGGTGAAGACATGTGTACGTATATTATTTTTCGAAGATAAATTATGCAAATCAAGTTGTCCTTTTTAGGTATCTTCCTCCCCCTCATAGCTATCAGCTCTTTGATTCTTTCTGTTATTTTGCTCTTGTTGAAAGGAACTGGTCGTAATTATTCTGTACAGAAAAGACTTTTAAAATTAGGTCTTTATAAACATTCCCGAAAAGAGATGAATTTTGACTGTCAAAACTAAGTGAAATCTGTTTTTTTTTTGTGTGAAAACATTAATTTCGTAGCATATATTGATGGGCAATGCTATTGATTAAAGTTAATGGGAACTGTACACTTCACTTCCCTTTCCATTACAAGTAAGGTCGGTGAGTTTGTATTTCTGGTTTATGATTTAATTGGTCGTAGCTGAAACAACCATGTTTCGATTAGTTTACATGTCCGCTATCTTGTTCCTGTTGAAAAAGTATATGTTCAGTTCATTTTAGCCATTTAGCTCCTAACGTTGCATCCTTGGCTTTTAAATATTTGGCTTTGAGCGTTCCTGATGAATGTGAATCCAGTAAAGCACTTCTAACGCACTTAATTTATTATTAAAAATGTTTATTCCATTAAGTATCTATTCGTTATAAATTTATGAAGGCAGTCTGTATGCAATTCCTCAGAAGCGTCTTTTTTTACTGTAGTTTGAGTTATTGACTTTCAGTTCCGGAAGGAAGATTCCTGTATAGCTGTCTTATACTCTGACGTCTTTGTTTCCTATTCGATGTTGTTTGGTGCTGTGGGGATTGACACCGATTCAGTTATATAATATTGTGTTTGTTTGTTACATTGTATCTCCTAAATCACAGGCACTTGTTTCTATCCATGGAAAGAGCCACTATCAACGTATATTTAGGCTCCTAAACATACGTTGATAGTGGATCTTCCCATGGATAGAAACAAGTGCATGTGTCCTAAATACATTTCTGCGTTACCTCACGGTCCTATTGATACACACATTTCTACAAAGTCATGCAAACATATAATGTACAGTTAGAAAGTAAATGTAAGATAAAACGTAAAACACATCAAATCAGATTTTATAACAACTGCATTGAAAATAACTATATTTTAGCTTGCTTTAAAACCAGGTTTAATTCGCCATTTTCTACATGAGGAAATGCCCGTACCAAGTCAGGAATATGACAGTTGTTTTCTATTCATTTGATGTGTTTGCGTTTTGATTTTGCCATTTGATAAAGGACTTTCCGTTTTGAATTTTCCTTGGAGTTCGGTATTTTTGCTATTTTACTTTTTTCATAGCATTTTAATTCAAAAACATTAAGGCAGAATATGGGTCTGATTTGTTTTGTTTTCAACAACTTTGTTTCATTAGAACCAATCGAAACTAAACTTGATAGATGTGTTGCTTTAAAGGTTCATGTATCAAGTGTTGTAACTTACACACCAGGAATCCCGATCCGAAACGCGGAGGGATCCGAATCCCGAGGAGCAATTAATTAAACGGATCCCACAGAGGAATTATGCTCCGTGGGAATCGGATCCGTATTTTACTTACCCATCGTACAAACTTTTTATTAATTGCTCCTCGAGATTCGGATTCCTCCGCGGATTTCGGATCGGGACCTGGTAAGACTTAGTTGCCGATCTGAAATTTAAATTTATCCTCCAAAATTGGCCAAAGGTAATACTCTATATAACGATTTCAATGGGGTCAAGACTATTCCAAAATGAACAGAAGTTAATTCAAAATGTGCCATACGGATCTAAGTCGACGGAGTATCATTTAATTATTTCTTATTTTATCTGAAGATAACAGTACTATTTAGATATGAACGGGTACGTTTTGCAGGTGAGCAATTCAGGTTCCTAGAACCCTTAAGTTATATAGTTTTTACCTTAAGGCAGAATTTTTCTCCAGCGTTTGCATGCTGAGTTGCTTCTGTCAATAATGGATGCAAAAACTCTTGTACTGCTGGATTCTGTGGATTTATAAGAACGGCAAACCACTCTGTAAAGCGCAAAAGGAAACGTGAGTGTTTAAAGAATTTTTTTTCAATCGGTCCATTTAATTTGATCGCTACTTAATTGCTTTTGCAATTTATTCCATTTTTATGTTATTCAAATATCATGGTTAAATGGAAAAGAACAAACATGTCCACAAAATCATATCTTCCCAAAATGTCCAATTATTTACTTGGCTTAAAAATGTTCGATTTTTTCCTCTCCCAAACGTGTCCGGCAATTGTTATGAATTTTTTTCAAACGTTTATGATAACGAATCACTTTTCATAAAGGTGGACACGTTTGGGCGGAGAACTAAAGGGAATTTTAGTAACCAATCAAGGAAACGAATACTTGCAACAAGATTGTACCAAGCAGGAGTCAGTGAGCAGATGATAATTGACAGGACAGGTCAAAGAAGTGAAAAGGCTGTTCGTATCTACAAACGACCTGCTGATTCTATGCTTAAATCCATCTAAAAAGCAGATAAAATATTGACAGATAATCGTGCAATCTTACTTATATAGGATAATATTGAAAATAAAGAAAATGCATTTAATGAATCAAAACCAGAAGGAAAAGGTCGTGGACTTCCAAGCAACAGTTCTTTTCAGAACTGTATTTTCTATTTCGTATCGAAGCTGTGAACTTTAGAAATATTTAATTTTAAACATGAAATCGTTAGTATATTTTTTTTAAGCCGTACAAAGAACTGTGTGATTAATTTTTTTTTCTATATTTTTCTGTGTCGGGTTATGACATAACTTTTGGATTACAGAACATTTATTTTTGTCATAAAAAATGTTTGATAGACAATAATAGGAAAATATCGATGATTTATATTCATTTACCGCAAGCACTGAATTTGTGTTTTTTGAAATGACAATATTTATTAAAAAATCATTTGAGTATAATAACAAACTGTGTTCCTGTTTAGACGGGTACTGTGTTGATTGTAATGCTACTACATTTGTTTTCTATTCTGATGTTTTATCAAGTGACTGATTTTTATGTTCGAATATTGACATGTATGCACTTGGTATTTCTTACAAAACGGAGAATGACAAATATCTGTAGTAGTAATGGTATCAACAAACATAAATTACTGTACAATGGATTCGAACATCTGGCATTGGCGTACAGTACATGTGACCTGTGCAGTATAAATGAAGTAGCTAATGACCACATGACCTGTGCATTATCCAGATTATACCACAGCAAGATCAAAGGAATTTTGCCTATGTCATGTGTTAATAACACTTTGTGGGAAAATGTGTTTATGTTCCCTTAAAATGAATATTTTACTAAATTGAGTATTATATGCTTGAACACTACATCTTTAAATCATCCTAAATATGTGGACACTTGTAGCAAATTCCCACCAAAGCGACCTCATGGTCTCCGATAACCACTGTGGCTTTGCGATTTGTATTAGGTATATGTATGTACACATGTTTAGAACATAATCGAAATAAATAACACGGTGGCTTGACCATGTATTATTCATTTAAAAGAAATGAACAGTCTTAGTTAGAATATAGCAAAGTACTCTCGACCAATGGAATTGTAGGATTTGATGCTTCTTAATTATTAAGAATTAAAGTAAACCAAGTTCTTAGGAATGGATTATCCTATTGTTAAATTAAGTGTTCAAAAGAAAGAATTTCTATAAATGAGTTACAACTACCCGCAGCACATCTATCAGCTTGACAGGATTTAACATGATTTAAACTGAATAAAAATTAAATTTGGGATAAAAAATTGAACCACAGCGGTGCAATAACATTTTTACCGTTTATGTTATCATGTTCGAGTACAAAAGCTTTATTTATAGACGAATATTTGTATACAGAAAACATAAGCTCTATTGAGCTTTTATATCGTCTTATTACAAAAAAAATATTAAAACAAGAACGTTAACGTTAATATCGATAACTTCAAAATTACTAAATCAAAGCAGTACATCAAGAAAAATCTCAAAAACTAAATATAACATTAATACCGTAAACGCTTCCAAAACTCGGCTTACTGGAACGCGTTTGGTAAGAACATAGATATTTGGCTATGGTTAAATTAACTTTTGAAATTCTTCTAGAAGGCGATTATCTCTTTTAATTCTATTTGCACATTTAGATTTTAATGAATAATCTCACATACTGGCTGTCGAATAAAATATTGTTATATTTATATTGTGTCATAGATCAAATTTATTCGTTCAGTGTATGTATGTTTACTTGTTTTGTTAATATGTCTTTTTGATCGAGTTACGCCAATTGATATATTATAGTGTGTCTTTCTATGTTGTAATGTTACACTACTGTTTCAGGTTAGGGTGAAGGTTGGCGCCTGTTAAAACGTTTAAATCAGCTGCATTTGTTTGCACCTGTCCTAAGTCGGAAACCTGTTGTTCAGTGGTTGTCGTTTGTTGATGTGGTTCATAAGTGTTTCTCGTTTCTCGTATTTTATATAGATTAGACCGTTGGTTTTCCTGTTTGAATTGTTTTACATTAGTCATTTTGGGGCCCTTTATAGCTTGCTGTTCGGTATGAGCCAAGGCTCCGTGTTGAAGACCGCACTTTGACCTATAATTGTTAACTTTTTACACATTGTGACTTGGATGGAGTGTTGTCTCATTGGCACTCACACCACATCTTCTTATTTCTATTATAACTCTAATTGTGAAATTTATTGATCCGACCTGTAAATTAACAAAAGATAATTCCTGACTAAACGATTACATGATTTACATTCATACTCACAATTAGGAAAATACAACTTATACCATTTAATCGTACTGTTGTATAATCTTATGTATAAAACACAATTTATTAAAACTTTCCCAAATTACAAGACATTTCTTTCATTACTAAGACAAATCCATAAATGATATGGCTTATAAGGAAGTCAAACATTTATCTAAAACATTGCTCTGAAATCTATTCTTGATTATAACCAATGTAAACGTCATTTTTACAGTATTCTAAGTTTGTAAGAGAATGATAAAACCTTTCTTCATAATAAGTACTCACTAACGCTTGTACTTCATCATGAACAAAGGCTTCATCCTTCTCTTACAGATACTAATAAAAATACCTATCAATTAAAATGGCCAGTAACATTTTGTTTGTTTTATAATATTCAAAGGAGAACGCATCTCAGATAATAAAATTATTTTCTATGGTAGTGACGAAGTAGAGTATGACTTAATGGTATTTTTCATACATACCTTCAACCCAAATAATGTTATTGTAATAACCCCTGAATTCATTTGTCTGATGTAGTACAAAACATTGAAACAAAATTGGTTTGTGAAGGAGATCTTCTATGATAAGTTGGAGTTCTTCAGCAGTATCTACTTTAATTGATCTGATAAAGAAAAAAAACATGAGCAATAATTTATATTCTAAAAAGGAAAGTACTATTAAAAGTTGATATGGAGGGCAAACGTCAATAACAGCAATCCCACTACACAGTTCGCAAGACAAGCTCAAAGAACTTGCCATGCTCATATAACATTCATTCCGTTCTACAATTTACTTGTTTTAGTTGTTTACATTTTTATTAGAACGCCTCACTAAACGTGTCTTTGTTATTCTGCGGCAGGTATAAACGAGAATATTTGCATGAAAGGTCTAACAATTCTTTGTATGAAAGTCTCAAACAATGACTGGCTAATTTGAAAAATACTTATACAGTAGTTAGTAGCTACTAGACATCATTGTAAAATATCATATTTTTTGCACTCTTTATATCTTCATTTATTTAATGAAAACAAACAAATGTGCCATATATCATCAAAATGCTGGACTTTTTTTATATACATTGTATTGGTCGAGTTTTGTGTATTGCTATTTCGGCAAGCAATCGTTATTCATAAGGGTACTAATTGTACAACCCTACTGTAAAGCCAAATACATACAAAACCCTTCTGACTGAGTGTAAGTCCTTAGTTTATTTATTACATATGTAAATAGTGAAAGTTCGAAAATGATATTGACTCGATGTTACTATTTTAAGTAACATGGTGTCAATATCATTTTTAAAAATAGTAACGTCGAGTCAATATGTCAAAATAGTGAAAAAATACATAACATATATTGGGAAACATGTGACCAAATAAACCAACGATAAACAAGAAAAATCCACCATATCGTCTCAAACTTAGTTCAACAATGTTAGATCTGCAAATTTGCTTTAGGAAATTTTAGTTCTTCCCTCAGCGGGATTCGAACTCCTTCATTTGAAACATCGTGGCAACACCGCCTGCACTGTGTCCAGCGTCCTATATGGTCGAGTGCATGGTCTAGGTAAATTGGAAAGTCATCTTCCACATTTACCATATGACTTGAAGAAAGCTTATTGTAGTCACAGATGCTTACGGTTAAGGAACAGTAAATGGGCTATGTCACAGATTTTGGTAAAATTTTGCAAACAACTTTGTCTCGTTAAAATATATCAGAAATTCGCTTTTTTCTCTTTTATTTTCTTAAATATGACTTATTAAATTCTTTCATAATATGTCAACATTTGTATAGGAAGCATATGAAATCGACGAAAACCGTTCATAAATTTGTTTTTAAATCATCAAATTTCCAATTTTTACATAAAAAAAAACTATATGTTGTTGATACATAAATTTCCGTTTTAACGATATAAAATAATCATATGGTCAGCGACACCATAAACCAATCTGTTATGGACTTATACTATTATGTTTTATATGTTAGTTTTATGTTTGTTTTTCACATATCCCTTTTATGGTTTTTGAAAAAATGAAAGTTTCAAATATTTTCTTCAGTGTCTCTACTCACGAAAGACATGTTTTCCCGGTCTTACATTTTAAGATACCCGAATAATCTTATGATCTGAAAATTTACCGATTTTGTTCAATTCTTTGTCATGACATTTTTATGGACTCTGTATAATTATAATCATACTTCCATATATATCTTTATTCTCAATAAACCGTCATTTTGAAAAGGCATAGAGAAATATACTTTTGGTAATGACATTAGTAAAAGTTTTGACCAATCTATAATCTTAGATTTGTATCCCTGTGGTAAAAACATATAAAGTTTTAAAAACATGAGGTTGGTCAAAATCTGAGATATCGCTGAAAACACAATGGCATATCGAACAAACTAAAAAATGTACCCACCATAAGGATATAACGACGAATAGGACACGAAAGGTTGTACCTTTGTTTATTAATTAAGTCGAATATCAAGGTTAATAACAGGACAACGAGCAATGCTTAAAATCATTCAGAAGAAAATCCATTAGGCGAAAAAAAGTAAATCTTTCGATTGTCATATTTATAGGATTTAATTACAAAAATATGTATATGCTATTTTTAATTAAAAACTGATAGAAAAGAACACTTCAAATTTTACGTTTTCCAACTGATGATTAATTACCAATCTTCTTTACAAGTCAAATTTCAAATAATATCCGGTGATTCTATCAGATCATACAAAACTCCTGGATTTTCTACATATGTGTTCCATTTTACAACAGTGCATGGAGTTAAGTCTTTTAATCCTGGATAGTTCATTTCGATGTTCAACTTAATATGGATATAAATCAAATCCAACTTGAATTAACAAGAATGGCGACTTTTGTAATTTGTTCGGAATTTCCAATGAGAATTCCTTAAAGTCCATTCAAACCAGTGCTACCCGTTTTTTCAAGCGAGTGCAAAGCCATTATGTTTTGACGCTTTACATTTAAATCAGAGTTTTATTTAAATACTAACGGTTGACTTAAACTTTACAATTATGAAATATTTGTTAATAAGCTTCCTTTGTTATAATGTTTTTGGTATGCTATGTTGCTATTGAAATAGATCGTATATATTGTTTTATCAGCGATAATTATGTATCGGGTGGTATTCGAGGTCAAGAAGATTTCTACGGAATTTCAAACATTATATCGGTCGATGGTATAAATTACCAATCATTATATATATATATATATGACACGGGGGCTGTTTATAAGTATTTTCAGTTAACTCAAATATGGAGTCCATTAGGGGAACATGGAACACTCATTTGGACCTTCATTATATATGTTATATTGTCACACAGGATGTTTATTTTTGAGATAATTAAAAGTAATCAATTACAAAAATGAAACACAAACACACACACACACACACACACACACACATGTATATATAAGTAAGAAAGGTAATTCACATGCACATAAGTATGTAACTATGAAATAACGATAGTAAGTGCGCTAAAATGTCTTTTAGCGTCTTCTACATATATATATATTTAGCCCAACAATTTTAGATCTTTAAATTTGCGTTAGCAAATTTTTCTTCCTCCCTCAGCGGTATTCGAACCCTTGCTTCTGTGAAATTGTGGCAACACTGCCTGCACCGTGTCCAGCGCCCTAGACCACTGGACCACCTAGGTTACATAAAAATATAGCTTTCGGTGGTCGATGTACATCATGGTCTTTCTCATCGGCTTTATGTAGGGTTGTAACACAGTACATGATGTATAGTGGCAAGTAGATGGTGTACCATTCAGATCAGCTATTTTGTCTGTCGTTAAGGATGATAACGTTATTTACCATGCCGCCACATCAAATTTTAATTTTATTCTACACGTCTAAACATGTGACAACTTTATTACAGACATTCTCCGTCGGATAACACGTGGTTATACAGGGCTAACACCATAATATATATATATAATTCGTTTCAAATTTAGCCCATCAATGTTAGATCTTTAAATTTGCGTTAGCAAATTTTTGTTCTTCCCTCAGCTGGATTCGAACCCTTGCTTCTGTGACATCGTGGCAATATATATACATATATATTCCCCACAACCTCGGACTAGAGGCGGTTAGATTGTGGATCGAATTAAGTTTTATAAGGGAATTTATTCTAGAAGGGCTTCAACTAGTATTGGAAAACAATACTGTTATCAATGCTATCTACAAGTGTAGGGGACAGATATGGGGACAAGGGTTGCACCAACGTGCACAGCACTGGTGATGGGCTATTCAGAAAACAATTTGTAAACTCCCCTTCGAAGATCTTTTCGTGAACATTTCAGTTTATATATTAAAGAAAACTTGAAACGCTTGCTTGATGACTCTTTAATTTCTGAACCAAAACCATTGAAGATCTAAATACATTTCATGATATAATCAATGATTTACACGAATCAATCAAATTCACAACGGACAAGACTTTCTTTTCTCGACATCTTAATTATGAAAGAATGGGGGAGTATTGTTACATACCTTTGTTGTGAAGATACCGACAATCATGAATATTTGAATTTCAAAAAGTGCCATCCATCAAACTCAAAAAGAAATATTCCTTTCAATCTGACCAGACGCGTATGCACTTTAATAACCTAGGCAGCACTACGCAAGTAAAGACTTGCAGAACTAAAACAAGATTACATGAAAAATCTAAGTAATGCAGCAATACTCAAACAATCATAAAATTGAGACGTCCAAAGGAAACTTAATCTAATTAAAATGATATACCATTCGTCTTTATACTCACAATCTTCGAAATCACAACATTTTACATACTACTATCAGCTACTATCTTCTTATTCTACATCAATCTGCATGACTAAAGGAACTGATCCCGGAATCACAAATAATAAGCAGCCGTAGACAATTGTCGAATTTGAAAAGGCTGCTTACCAAAGCTAGATTCGCACCAAAAGGAGAAAATGAGGAGTTACAAAGATACGGAGATCGTCGGTGTGGAACGTGCGATTATATTGACTAAGGGGACTCTGTGACATTTAAATCGGGAGAGACATTTATAGTAAATGCACGAACGAACTGTAAAACTCATAATCTGATGTATTGCTCAACATGCCCAACGTGCAAAGAAAGTGATATGGGGCTAACATGAGATGCCCTTGTTGACAGGGTCAAAGTACAAAACAACTAATAAGGGACCCTTCAATCAGAAATACCCCCTGTAGTGAAAATTTAAAACAATGCGGAATGGGAAAATTCAGTATATCTCTTTCCTTTGTATTCTACGAGGGTCTTTTTATCTTTTTCTTGAGCTTTAACGAAAGCTTCTGTGATTCTTTTTGGTTTTGTATCCTTTTGACTTCAGTTGATTTCTGAGTTGTTCCAAATGGTAGTTTAGTTTAAATTCGATGATCAAATCAGCTTAAGTCTGATGGCTTGACTGTAAAAAAATGCTCCTATAGTGTTTCAGTTGATAACTCTACGGTGAGAGAGAGCTTTTCACATATCCCTTATTGGGTTTTTGAGAAAATGTGAGTTTCAACTATTTTCATCAGTGTCTCTACTAACGGGAGACATGTTTTCCCGGTCTTACATTTTAAGATACCCGAATAATCTTATGATCTGAAAATTTACCGATTTTGTTCAATTCTTTGTCATGACATTTTTATGGACTCTGTATAATTATAATCATACTTCCATATATATCTTTATTCTCAATAAACCGTCATTTTGAAAAGGCAAAGAGAAAAACATATGTACAATATATACAATAATAAATAAAATTACAAGGCATTTTATCAACAAAAAAAGAGATGGCTTCACACTAGATTTAGCCTGAAGTACACACAGATTTATTTGTGATTTTCAAAAATTTGCAAACTTTTTAGTAAGCTAAAAAACTCCGTATTCTTTTTTTTTTTGTGACATAATTTTTTTGACCAATATATAATCTGCTATATTTATCCCTGTGGTAAAAAAAATATAAAGTTATAAAAGCATGAGGTTTATCAAAATCGGAGAATATATTGAAATATCGAACCAACTTAAAATGTACACCATTATAAGGAGTCAACGAAACATAACTATTAAGGAAAGGGAAATTAAGAATAGGAACAGAAAGTTTGTACCTTTGTTTATTAATTTGGTTAACCATCAACAGGACAACGAGCAATGCTTAAAATCATTCAGAAGAAAATCCATTAGGCGAAAAAATGTAAATCTTTCGGTTATCATATTTAAAGGATTTAATTACAAAAATATGTATATGCTATTTTTAATTAAACACTGCTAGAAAAGAACACTTTTAACTTTACTTTTTCCAACTGATGATTAATTACCTATCTTCTTTACAAGTCAAATTCCAAATCATATCCGGTGATTCTATCAGATCATACAAAACTCCTGGATTTTCTACATATGTGTTCCATTTTACAACGGTGCATGGAGGTAAGTCTTTTAATGCTGTATAGTTCATTTCGATGTCCAACTTAATATGGATATAAATCAAATCAAACTTGAATTAACAAGAATGTCGAATTTTGTAATATGTTCGGAATATCCAATGAGAATTCCTTAAAGTTCATTCAAACCAGTGCTACCCGATTTTCCAAGTGAGTGCAAAGCCATTATGTTTTTATACCTAACATTTGAATCAGAGTTTTTTAAAAATACTAAAGGTTGACTTAAACTTTATAATTATGAAATATTTGTTTATAACTTCATTTGTTATAATGTTTTTGGTATGCTATTTTGCTATTAAAATAGATCGTAAATATTGCTTTGTAAGCGATAATTATGTATTCGAAGTCAAGAAGATTGCTAGGGAATTTCAAACTTTCATATCGGTCGATGGTATTAAATAACAAAAGGATGAAGAAAATTTCACTTCTTAACATTGAATAACAAAAATTTACAAAAAAACCTTTTAAAAAGACCGATATATAGCAGTCTTGTCTATATGTTTCAAAATTTCTACTAAGATTCTTTATAGAGTAAAAGATGACCTACATTATTTTTTTTTGTGATGGTGTATACTCAACTAGCGGTGTCAATCAGATGCGAATTCTTAAAAATGCTTATGAATCACATTGATTTAATAATAAAAAAAAACAAATGCGCCACATTTTTTTGTGTATTCAAATGAAGCCGAGTATATAAAAAAAACCTGCTAAACGACAGAAAGAAAAAAATTTTGCCTATTCTAAAGCTTCTAGATTAGATATATGATTTATATTCTGTCACTCACAAATTAAATTTCAACTAGTGCTCACATCTCATATCTACAAATGAACTTGAAATTTAGGATACTCCCAAACTAAAAAATCGCTTCATATCTGGGATTTTCTGGGAAAATGAGAAACATGAACGACCTCATACTATTGTCTTTAACAAAATTATCGACATGAGTTTTTTCATTGTAAAACCCCGTATTCCTCAGTAGTAAATTCTCTCTTTTACCAAAAGGATATATAGCGTTTATATTTCCCAATTCATAAGTCATATGTGCTTGTTCATATTATACGTAACGTACTTCATTAAGAAGGAAATCCTCCAGCAGTGGTAGGAGGAAGAATGACAGAAATCAAAATTACTCATAAGTTTTACGATCGCTTTCGTGAATTGGTTGACTGATGTAATGTTTTGGCGTAAATGAACTGTGTTCAACCTTTACCGAATCATATGCAAGTAAGAGAAGACATTTATGATCATGTTTCAAACGATTTGGAATGTGTACGCGAATTTTTACAGTGTATTTCAAGATTGGGTACCAGCTCTAAACTAACTTCCAGAGAGAATAATAAACAAATTCCTGAAATCACAAGAGGTTAAGATATACAAAATATGCCAGCATAATAGATTGAATACGTACGAAATTGATCGTAAATATCAATAAAGCAGAAGGGAAAACGAAAGAATTTACTGCATTATAGTATCAGATAATGAAAATTTACAATAGAAACTACAACAGATACGCAGCACTCTCAGTGTTTAACTTAAGGATTTAAATAAAGTAGCATGTCAATGTACAGGCTAAAACAAACTTGGGCAGGTAAATCCAAAACAAACCGGATATGGGGAGTTTCATTCTAAAGACATGACATTTCAGTTATTTGTTGATACAACACTTAATTTACAGAGGATACTAGCTTTGAGAAAAAAAAATTCTGCGAAGACCTAACCGTATTGAGGTTCAAATAGTTGAAAACTAAGCAACAAAAAAATGCAGATGTTCCAACTGGTTTGAAGTATATGTAGCAATAGTTAGGAAGGCAACCGTGTGCTGAAAATATAAAAAACGTTAAAAATGAAAATTTAATCTTTTATTATATGACTACAAAATATCTCTTTCTCATTGGCTAAAAGCATACGGAATCTTCTGTGATATTATATTCACCAATTATAACCCTTGATTGAATTCGATTTCAAAAAAAGAAAGAAGAAAAATATGTTGATACAGCAATACAAAAAATATTTACTTACAATGTTTAACCAGCGCCAAACAGAATGAAATTAATTCGAAAAAGTGTTAAATGTTTGTGGGTTATTCTTTAAATGAAGGCAACTGATGTTACTCTCACATCGGTTTGGGCCACTGAAATTTAGAATAATTTGAACATTGGCTATTTGATGATAATTTTAATACTTTACCTAATGTTGTCACCAATATTGTAAACGAATGCAATGATATTATTATGCTATCTGCAACTAGTTGTGCATTGTAACATGATTATACAGAGTCCATAAAAATGTCATGACAAAGAATTGAACAAAATCGGTAAATTTTCAGATCATAAGATTATTCGGGTATCTTAAAATGTCACAGATTTATTTGTGATTTTCAAAAATTTGCAAACTTTTTAGTAAGCTAAAAAAATCCGTATTCTTTTTTTTTGTGACATAATTTCTTGACCAATATATAATCTGCTATATGTATCCCTGTGGTAAAAAAATATAAAGTAAAAAAAGCTTGAGGTTTGTCAAAATCTGAGAATATATTGAAATATCGAACCAACTTAAAATGTACACCATAAGAAGGAGTCAACGAAACATAACTATTAAGGAAAGGGAAATTAAAAATAGGACCAGAAAGTTTGTACCTTTGTTTATTAATTTGGTTAACCATCAACAGGACAACGAGCAAAGCTTAAAATCATTCAGAAGAAAATCCATTAGGCGAAAAAATGTAAATCTTTCGGTTATCATATTTAAAGGATTTAATTACAAAAATATGTATATGCTATTTTAAATTAAACACTGCTAGAAAAGAACACTTTTAACTTTACTTTTTCCAACTGATGATTAATTACCTATCTTCTTTACAAGTCAAATTCCAAATCATATCCGGTGATTCTATCAGATCATACAAAACTCCTGGATTTTCTACATATGTGTTCCATTTTACAACGGTGCATGGAGGTAAGTCTTTTAATGCTGTATAGTTCATTTCGATGTCCAACTTAATATGGATATAAATCAAATCAAACTTGAATTAACAAGAATGTCGAATTTTGTAATATGTTCGGAATATCCAATGAGAATTCCTTAAAGTCCATTCAAACCAGTGCTACCCGATTTTCCAAGTGAGTGCAAAGCCATTATGTTTTTATACCTAACATTTGAATCAGAGTTTTTTAAAAATACTAAAGGTTGACTTAAACTTTACAATTATGAAATATTTGTTAATAAGCTTCCTTTGTTATAATGTTTTTGGTATGCTATTTTGCTATTAAAATAGATCGTATATGTTGCTTTATAAGCGATAATTATGTATTCGAAGTCAAGAAGATTGCTAGGGAATTTCAAACTTTCATATCGGTCGATGGTATCAAATAACAAAAGGATGAAGAAAATTTCACTTCTTAACATTGAATAACAAAAATTTACAAAAAAACCTTTTAAAAAGACCGATATATAGCAGTCTTGTCTATATGTTTCAAAATTTCTACTAAGATTCTTTATAGAGTAAAAGATGACCTACATTATTTTTTTTTGTGATGGGGTATACTCAACTAGCGGTGTCAATCAGATGCGAATTCTTAAAAATGCTTATGAATCACATTGATTTAATAATAAAAAAAAAACCAAATGCGCCACATTTTTTTTTGTATTCAAATGAAGCCGAGTATATAAAAAAAACCTGCTAAACGACAGAAAAAAAAATTTGCCTATTCTAAAGCTTCTAGATTAGATATATGATTTATATTCTGTCACTCACAAATTAAATTTCAACTAGTGCTCACATCTCATATCTACAAATGAACTTGAAATTTAGGATACTACCAAACTAAAAAATCGCTTCATATCTGGGATTTTCTGGGAAAATGAGAGACATGAACGACCTCATACTATTGTCTTTAACAAAAGTATCGCCATGAGTTTTTTCATTGTAAAACCCCGTATTCCTCAGTAGTAAATTCTCTCTTTTACCAAAAGGATATATAGCGTTTATATTTCCCAATTCATAAGTCATATGTGCTTGTTCATATTATACGTTACGTACTTCATTAAGAAGGAAATCCTCCAGCAGTGGTAGGAGGAAGAATGACAGAAATCAAAATTACTCTTAAGTTTTACGATCGCTTTCGTGAATTGGTTGACTGATGTAATGTTTTGGCGTAAATGAACTGTGTTCAACCTTTACCGAATCATATGCAAGTAAGAGAAGACATTTATGATCATGTTTCAAACGTTTTGGAATGTGTACGCGAATTTTTACAGTGTATTTCAAGATTGGGTACCAGCTCTAAACTAACTTCCAGAGAGAATAATAAACAAATTCCTGAAATCACAAGAGGTTAAGATATACAAAATATGCCAGCATAATAGATTGAATACGTACGAAATTGATCGTAAATATCAATAAAGCAGAAGGGAAAACGAAAGAATTTACTGCATTATAGTATCAGATAATGAAAATTTACAATAGAAACTACAACAGATACGCAGCACTCTCAATGTTTAACTTAAGGATTTAAATAAAGTAGCATGTCAATGTACAGGCTAAAACAAACTTGGGCAGGTAAATCCAAAACAAACCGGATATGGGGAGTTTCATTCTAAAGACATGACATTTCAGTTATTTGTTGATACAACACTTAATTTACAGAGGATACTAGCTTTGAGAAAAAAAATTTCTGCGAAGACCTAACCGTATTGAGGTTCAAATAGTTGAAAACTAAGCAACAAAAAAATGCAGATGTTCCAACTGGTTTGAAGTATATGTAGCAATAGTTAGGAAGGCAACCGTGTGCTGAAAATATAAAAAACGTTAAAAATGAAAATTTAATCTTTTATTATATGACTACAAAATATCTCTTTCTCATTGGCTAAAAGCATACGGAATCTTCTGTGATATTATATTCACCAATTATAACCCTTGATTGAATTCGATTTCAAAAAAAGAAAGAAGAAAAATATGTTGATACAGCAATTTAAAAAATATTTACTTACAATGTTTAACCAGCGCCAAACAGAATGAAATTAATTCGAAAAAGTGTTAAATGTTTGTGGGTTATTCTTTAAATGAAGGCAACTGATGTTACTCTCACATCGGTTTGGGCCACTGAAATTTAGAATAATTTGAACATTGGCTATTTGATGATAATTTTAATACTTTACCTAGTGTTGTCACCAATATTTTAAACGAATGCAATGATATTATTATGCTATCTGCAACTAGTTGTGCATTGTAACATGATTATACAGAGTCCATAAAAATGTCATGACAAAGAATTGAACAAAATCGGTAAATTTTCAGATCATAAGATTATTCGGGTATCTTAAAATGTCACAGATTTATTTGTGATTTTCAAAAATTTGCAAACTTTTTAGTAAGCTAAAAAAATCCGTATTCTTTTTTTTTGTGACATAATTTTTCGACCAATATATAATCTGCTATATGTATCCCTGTGGTAAAAAAATATAAAGTTATAAAAGCATGAGGTTTGTCAAAATCGGAGAATATATTGAAATATCGAACCAACTTAAAATGTACACCATAAGAAGGAGTCAACGAAACATAACTATTAAGGAAAGGGAAATTAAAAATAGGACCAGAAAGTTTGTACCTTTGTTTATTAATTTGGTTAACCATCAACAGGACAACGAGCAATGCTTAAAATCATTCAGTAGAAAATCCAATAGGCGAAAAAATGTAATTCTTTCGGTTATCATATTTAAAGGATTTAATTACAAAAATATGTATATGCTATTTTTAATTAAACACTGGTAGAAAAGAACACTTTTAACTTTACTTTTTCCAACTGATGATTAATTACCTATCTTCTTTACAAGTCAAATTCCAAATCATATCCGGTGATTCTATCAGATCATACAAAACTCCTGGATTTTCTACAAATGTGTTCCAGATTACAACGGTGCATGGAGGTAAGTCTTTTAATGCTGTATAGTTCATTTCGATGTCCAACTTAATATGGATATAAATCAAATCCAACTTGAATTAACAAGAATGTCGAATTTTGTAATATGTTCGGAATATCCAATGAGAATTCCTTAAAGTCCATTCAAACCAGTGCTACCCGATTTTCTAAGTGAGTGCAAAGCCATTATGTTTTTATACCTAACATTTGAATCAGAGTTTTTTTAAAATACTAAAGGTTGACTTAAACTTTACAATTATGAAATATTTGTTAATAAGCTTCCTTTGTTATAATGTTTTTGGTATGCTATGTTGCTATTAAAATAGATCGTATATATTGCTTTATAAGCGATAATTATGTATTCGAAGTCAAGAAGATTGCTAGGGAATATCAAACTTTCATATCAGTCGATGGTATCAAATAACAAAAGGATGAAGAAAATTTCACTTCTTAACATTGAATAACAAAAATTTACAAAAAAACCTTTTAAAAAGACCGATATATAGCAGTCTTGTCTATATGTTTCAAAATTTCTACTAAGATTCTTTATAGAGTAAAAGATGACCTACATTATTTTTTTTTGTGATGGGGTATACTCAACTAGCGGTGTCAATCAGATGCGAATTCTTAAAAATGCTTATGAATCACATTGATTTAATAATAAAAAAAACCAAATGCGCCACATTTGTTTTTGTTTTCAAATGAAGCCGAGTATATAAAAAAAACCTGCTAAACGACAGAAAAAAAAATTTGCCTATTCTAAAGCTTCTAGATTAGATATATGATTTATATTCTGTCACTCACAAATTTAATTTGCTCACATCTCATATCTACAAATGAACTTGAAATTTAGGATACTCCCAAACTAAAAAATCGCTTCATATCTGGGATTTTCTGGGAAAATGAGAGACATGAACGACCTCATACTATTGTCTTTAACAAAAGTATCGACATGAGTTTTTTCATTGTAAAACCCCGTATTCCTCAGTAGTAAATTCTCTCTTTTACCAAAAGGATATATAGCGTTTATATTTCCCAATTCATAAGTCATATGTGCATGTTCATATTATACGTTACGTACTTCATTAAGAGGGAAATCCTCCAGCAGAGGTAGGAGGAAGAATGACAGAAATCAAAATTACTCTTAAGTTTTACGATCGCTTTCGTGAATTGGTTGACTGATGTAATGTTTTGGCGTAAATGAACTGTGTTCAACCTTTACCGAATCATATGCAAGTAAGAGAAGACATTTATGATCATGTTTCAAACGTTTTGGAATGTGTACGCGAATTTTTACAGTGTATTTCAAGATTGGGTACCAGCTCTAAACTAACTTCCAGAGAGAATAATAAACAAATTCCTGAAATCACAAGAGGTTAAGATATACAAAATATGCCAGCATAATAGATTGAATACGTACGAAATTGATCGTAAATATCAATAAAGCAGAAGGGAAAACGAAAGAATTTACTGCATTATAGTATCAGATAATGAAAATTTACAATAGAAACTACAACAGATACGCAGCACTCTCAGTGTTTAACTTAAGGATTTAAATAAAGTAGCATGTCAATGTACAGGCTAAAAAAAACTTGGGCAGGTAAATCCAAAACAAACCGGATATGGGGAGTTTCATTCTAAAGACATGACATTTCAGTTATTTGTTGATACAACACTTAATTTACAGAGGATACTAGCTTTGAGAAAAAAAATTTCTGCGAAGACCTAACCGTATTGAGGTTCAAATAGTTGAAAACTAAGCAATAAAAAAATGCAGATGTTCCAACTGGTTTGAAGTATATGTATCAATAGTTAGGAAGGCAACCGTGTGTTGAAAATATAAAAAACGTTAAAAATGAATATTTAATCTTTTATTATTTGACTACAAAATATCTCTTTCTCTTTGGCTAAAAGCATACGGAATCTTCTGTGATATTATATTCACCAATTATAACCCTTGATTGAATTCGATTTCAAAAAAAGAAAGAAGAAAAATATGTCGATACAGCAATTTAAAAAATATTTACTTACAATGTTTAACCAGCGCCAAACAGAATGAAATAAATTCGAAAAAGTGTTAAATGTTTGTGGGTTATTCTTTAAATGAAGGCAACTGATGTTACTCTTACATCGGTTTAGGCCACTGAAATTCTAGAATAATTTGAACATTGGCTATTTGATGATAATTTTAATACTTAACCTAATGTTGTCACCAATATTGTAAACGAATGCAATGATATTATTTTGCCA